ACTTATAAATAAAATATTATATCCTGATGATTGAAAGCGAAATCCAAAACCCAATCGATAGCGTCTTCTTCCCTTCTCAACATGTCCAAAATATTTTCGTAAATGTCAAGCAAAAACGCCCACGGTTTAAATTCATTATTTATTAAAGCCTGACTTAATTTTGGATATAATCTATAATTCTCATTAAAATAATTCATTAACTTTTTTCTTTCCTTCTTCCTCACTTCGGGGTTTTTGTCTTCAATACTTGTCAAAAATTTATTTAATTTGTATTCATAACCATTCAGTAACTCACCAATGTGTTTTTTAATTAATCCTATATCATTAATGTTCATCATTTCATACTCAATAAAATATTTTTAATTTATTTAAAATGAATTATGAATATGAATACGTTGATAATATGTCAAGTGATGATTTGGTAAATTATGAGATGATGGAAGAACTAGAGGGCAGAAGTAATAAAGAAAGTTTGACCAAAATTAAAGGCACAAATATTTATTTAAATTCAGTGAATGTTTTAGTGGGAAGGCAACGAACAGGCAAAACGTACACAATGACAAAGGAGATAATAAAAATTTCACGAAACAGTAAAGAAACACATCTTATAATTTACATTAACAAATCAGGAGACGCAGACGATGAAACATTTTATAAATGTGCTCAATTGATTGAAAAACCATTAATATATGTCAGTTAGAAAGAAGCTCCAAAGTTAATAAATGAGATAATAAAATATAAAATGATTTATAATAAAATAATGGAAAATAAATTAGAGGATGAATTACCGGAGGAAATGAGGGATGAGCTATTTAATAAATTATTTATCACTGATTTCAAAAGTAAGTTTTTACACACCGTGGTAATTCTGGAGGATGCAACGAATACTAAAGAGTTAAACGATAAAACGGGATTAATAAATGACCTTCTCATTAAGTGCCTACACATTCAATTTTCATTCTTTATTTTGGTTCATTTCTGGAAAGCACTCAGCACTAATTTGAAATCTAACCTATCCACTATATTTATTTTCGCCGGTTATTCACGCCAACAGTTACAATATATCACGTATCAATTAAATATCCCCCTCACTTCTTCAGAACTATATAACATTTATAAACAAATTAATGGACATCAAAAATTATATATTGACGCAAATGAGCAAACATTTAACGTTCTCAATTAATTTTATCATTTATTTTTACATTAATTTTTATTTTTTATTTATCATTAAATGGATGAGAGATATGACATATCGAATTTTAACACAATTGAAGACATAAGGAAGCCAAGAGAGAAAAACGGAAAATATACGGGAGAGAAACAAGACCTTTACGATTTATTAATAAACATCATTTTAAATCATAAAAAAGAAATTTCGAAGGTTCCTTTGGCATCCTCAATTAAAACGGCTCAACCGTGGGCTGAGAAACGTGGATTACGTGCGGGCGTTCAAGATTTAGACGGTGATGGAACACAAGAGGTGGTAGTTTATGATAAAGCCGGACGTCCTATCATTATTAATGGCTACGAGTTGAGGGACTCCGACTTCGCCTTGAGGCAAGCATATTTTGACACTCACACAACAAAACAAAGCAGAATTAAAGAGCCCAGCATTAATGAATGGGGTAAACGTTTCGCTTATGATTCAACTGTAGATCCGAATAATCCATGGATTACCCACACAAGACTAAAGCCGGAGGGTCAATTATTAGAACAAACAGGGTATAAAATGCCGGTGAAACCAAAGAAGACACAATCGATATTTAACATATTCACTAAATTAATTGCGCCATTAGTTAAAAAATATTGGGCAGGAGATGCTGAAGCATTTAGAAACATCATAGGCGCCAAAGGTGATGAATCCAATATTGAATTCATTAAAAAGATTATTTCTCCAATCGTTATTTATCGTATGCTTTACGTTCGATTGGTTGAGAAAAAATATTTCCAGTTCTTAAATCTGAAATTGGGTGAGGGTTCATATCAACAATTTAAGAACTACATTAGAGATAACTCTAATAGATTCTGGGGATTCTTTAAAGAAAATTATTTAACAAAAGATTTACAACATTTAACACCTAAAATTAATATAGAAGTAATTAAACAGGCTATGTGTGCGGATGATTGCGACTGGGATGGTTCCGACATAAATGATGTTATTATATGGCTATTAGGTTTGAATAACTGTAAAAATCCTGAGTTCGTCGCTTTTTGCACTGACGGTGTCCAAGCTGCTGCATTACTTCAATTACTGAAAAGAAAAGGAAAGGCTGAAGTTGATGAAGACCCAGTCGCTGCACTTAATGAATATAGAACATGGCGTGTAAAGATGGAAGATTTCAGAGAAGACGCCCGCAGAGGACAGAAGCAATGGTTCAACATGGTTGAAGATTACTTTAACGGTGCAGTTAAAGAAGATACTAAACGCTTCGCATATATGATGGAGAATGGACTCAATCCGTTTGCAGAAGCTAAAACAGTGGAGGAAGTTGGAAAAGCCGGCTCTTCATCTCCAATGAAAGAAGGCAAACCATCAGCACCACCAGACGACAAAGGAACTGAAGGAGCAGCACCAGAAGAAGCTCCACAAAGTGAATGAAATAAATGATGAGGATTAGTGAGAAATAAATTTTAAATTTTAATGATTAAATATATTATTTTTATTTTTATGAAATGGATTTAATAATAAATGAGATAAAGAACATGAGAAATGAACCGAATTTATCCGCTAAATTAACTGGCGGAATTTATAATATACCTGATTTAAAATATGAAATACCATTGACTGAAATAAATGTTACTCAAAATAATCACGTGATAAGTTTAATTGAAATGGTGCATAAAGACGCGGCAAGTTCTATATGGCATGATTTAAGACCTGAATTTTATAAAAAGCCGATAAACATGGTTTTATTTATTAGTGATGAAAAAGACATACTAGCTGCAGATACCGTAACTCAATTTGTTTTAATTAATTTCATGATGTCTTATGTATTCATTGGTAAAAAATATAAATGGGTTAACTCAACTGGAGGAAATGAAGCCTTAACAAAATGGGTTCCCGGAGAAACCGGATTTGATAAAACAATGATAGAAAGGGATTTATCGAATTATTTTGCTTTATATCATAAAAACCCTTCAGAATTACCAACAAGAGGAGCTAAAATTTATCTTTGGGGTTATGCCTCAGAGCCAATCAATTTAAAGCTTTTGGAACATGAAAAAGATTATGATAGTGTTTCGCCTGGTCATTATATGCTGGGCTCAATGCCATTAAAAGAAGACCCCGACCCATACGCAACATGAATTTTTAAAGGTTGTGATAAAAATAAATTAGTAGTGGATATGACGGGTTGTGTGACTTTTTTTGTAAACGTAAGAATTCATACAATATCGAGCGATTTTATATCATTTTTTTAACATATGAAGTAAAAAATGTATGATTCTTACGGTTTTTATTCTTACGTTTTTGAATAAATCAAGATTTAAAAAATTTTCAAAATTGTAAGACATTTACACTCAACCCAAACATAATGAAATAAACCATTAAAAAATTAACATTAATTTTAAAAGAAGCTATATATAGATGATGTCAGATATTCCGCGATTAATTAAACATTGTTTAAATCCTGAATGGAATCAATGGAGTCATAATCAAAGACCTCATAAACGAGTAAAAGAAATTAGAAATAATTATTTTCATGAATGAAAGATTCACTACCATAATGAAATAAAAAATAAAAATTTTTAAAGTTTATTTTTTAAAAATTCATGTCTTACGAAAAATTAAAACTTAGTTATGTTTATTATTTTATTTTTTTTATTTTGTATGAAATGAGCGTCAAAACTAACAACGTTAAAAAATTAGGATTCACAAACGAGGAAATAAAGGATATATTAGATGAGATGTGTTATGAAGTTAGTAAATATTATTTAAGAAATTGTCAAAAATTTGCCGAGTTATTAAATGATTTAGATTATGATGGAAAAATGAATAAAGATGATGTTATAAATTTCTTATATCCCACATCTGAAGAAGAAAAACCTAAAGAACCTGATGTTTTCCCTGAATATTATGAAGAACGGATTAAAGATGATGATGAATACGATGAAATTGAAATTGAAAGACTGAAAAAATAAGAGATGAAATAGATGAAAAAATTAAGGAATTAAGAGAAGTTGAAAAATATAATGAAAATGAAGTAGAGGGTTTAATGAATATCCCAGCTTCAGAATCAGAAGTACAGAAATCTCATGAAGAAAGATATAAAAATTATGTCTCAGAATCAACACAAAATTTATTAGATGGTGAAATAGACGAAACACTTTCAGAAGAAGGTACTAAATTTATTCGTAAACATAAGTTACAATTTATTGATAATGAAGATACCCCTGTATCCTACTTTCACCACCTTTAGATTCCGAAAAATTCAAAAAAGCTCTTAAAAACGTGACATATGCAACTAATACGATTAAGAAAGAAGATCATGATATTTACACAAATTATTATTTAAATAAATGCACGGGTGTTGATAAAGTTTTTGATTTATTAGATAAAATATCAAAAGAAACCATTGGAACCTATAAAATTTTATGTGATTGCGGTTTCATTATTGAAGATACTAATAATGTTTCATATGAAAGAACAGCACCGAAGGAAGATGAAGTTGAAAGGTCTATACCATTCGTTATTAAGAACATAAAAGATATGAAAACTTATAAACATTATATTTATTCATTTATTTCAGAAAAAATGGAAGCAACCCATAAAACATCTTCTCATCATTTTATAGCTATTCATACATTCCTTTTCAAAGTTGTGAAATTAAATAAGACAGGAATTAGATTTAATGTATCAGGGTACGCATTCTTGAGTAAATTAAAATGTATTCGTCACGTCGCAGATGATAAAAATTTATGTGTTCTTAATTCATTTTATGGGCTTTAAAAAATAAACTTTATTTTTATTTATTTTTTAATTTTTTATTCTTACATAAATGAACAAAAATGGAACAGCTAAAATGAATGATAATCAAATTAGAGCAGAAGGTAGAAGGTTATTTAAACGCTTCTATAACATTCCTGATGGTGTTAATCCTAAAACTCGTAGAAGCTATTTAAATGAAGCAATAGATGCATATGAAGGGTTTGACATTTCATCAGAAAGTGAGAGATTAGCGAGAATGTTAAATGTTAATATTGATTTCTATTATTGTGATCCTCAACCAGAAGACGTGGACATAAATAAGGTAGACTTTCCATTAGTGGATTCAATAATGATAGATCCAGAATTTGAAACAGTAAATATTTTATTAACACAGAGTCCATGTGGAAAACTTCACGCTGACAGAATAACAGACGTTGAAGCACTCACCGGCTATAAAGTTTGTCCATATTGTAAAGAAGAAGTTTATTCTATCCGTGATGATCCAGAAAGGAAAAACCAAAGAAGATTTTTAAAGCATTGTGAGAAATGTAAAGAAAATAATGGAAGATTAATTCAAGACGTTCAATTGCAAAAGACCCAGCAACAATATACACCACATATTACGAAACAGAAGATATATCAGTGGTTATTAGCTCACAATTTGCAGAAATATTATAAACCGACAAGATATTATATTACTTTTGACTTTGAAATATTAGAGACTAAAGAAGAATTACAACTTTCTGAGTGTGCAACTTTGAACGCTTACTTAAAACCATTCATGGTATCATCAACGGTTAAATTAAATGATAAAACATATACGAGGAATTTTTGCTTAACTTCGAGTGATTCTTTTATTTCTGATTGGATTGAGTTTTTATTTTCAACCTGTTCATTAGTTGTTGAATCAAATATTGAACAATATGAAGAATTAATGAAGCCGCAAACGGCGGGGACTTTGTCCCATACATTAAATGAAAAACAGAAGGAAGCATTTAAAGAACTTCTAGATGAGGAATTCAATAAAGTGAATATCATAGGTTTTAATTCGGGAAAGTTTGATTTAAATTTAATTCTTCGTGATTTAAACACTGCAAAATGGAAAATAAAATCAATGCTGGGTTCATCTTCACAATTTAAGCAAAACATTGTAAAGAAAACAAACGTTCCATATGAATTGAGATTTATTGACATCAGAAATTATATAGCGGGTGGGACATTAGACCAATTCACTCAAGATTTCGGAAACAATAAATCACGTGTTAAATCCTTTTTCCCTTATCAATTCATCACGTGGGAAAATTACGAAGAAGAATTATATAAAGTGGAACCATTCACTCAAGATTCATTTTATTCAGCATTAACTCAAGAAGCTATATCAGATAGTGATTATCAAATATATCTCAATGATGCTAAAAACTTTAAGAATAGATTAGAATATTTTATTCATTATTGCAATAAAGATGTTGAAATTATGATTGACCCAATTGATAAAATTATTGAAGAAACATTTGTTTATAAAATTGACACGCTTCATAATCTTTCTATATCATCGAATGCTTCAATGATTCGTTACGCTTTAGCATATAAAGACTTTAATCCTAATGAAAAATATCCTGAGGAAGAGATAGAATCAAGTTTTGAATTAACGAAAAAGTATTGGAAATATAAAATTGAATCATATAAGAAACAAGATGAAAAAGCAGAAAGGGATACTAAAAATAATGTTTCAATGGATGATTTTCAATACTATCACGATTTAATCCTTTCATCTAAATGCAAAATGTGTGGTAAAGCGTTTACATATGCAAATAAACCAACATTGGATAGAATCGATAATGAAAAACCACATACCAAAGAAAATTGTCAGTTAATGTGTTGTTATTGCAATGTCGTAAAATCAAATAAAGATGAAGATGTTCAACGTTTAAGAATCAATTTAAGAAATTATGCATTAAAAAATAATTTACCAATGACTTTAGATTCAGTTGAAGCTTATCACATTCTCCGTAATGGAATTACTGGTGGTTTATCAAATGTTCAACATAGAGTAAATCTTAAAGGAATCACGCACATTAATAAACTTTCATATAGTCCAGAAACTAAAACTGTATCAAATGAGGACACTTCCAACATCATGACTCATTTCGTTGGTGTTGATTTTAATTCATTATATCCTTCATCATTTTCATCTAATCCTCATGATTTCATTCAATATACTGACCATAAAATGTATATGCCGGGAAGATTGAATGGTGTTATCATTTGTGATACAGCAACAAAGAAAGCAAAAGCACTGGGAATAATTAAGAAGAAAAATACTTTATTCGTGGCTGAAGTAAAGGGTCACATTGATGAAAAATACATTAATGATTACATAAACTTTTTACCGATAATAAGAAACTTAGATATTATCACAGATGAAAAAACAATTGGCAGTTTTATGTATAATTACATGAAATCAAACAATCTACCGGTTGACCAGAAACAGAGGAAATTAACTCAGTTAGCATCAACACAACCAATATCAACCATTTTCTTCTTATTATCTTTGGTATCTAATAGACAGATTTCATTTTATCATTGATGACATTCAATCAATTTTAACATTTACGAAAAACACTTGTTTTAATGAATTTGCGAACAAATTTATGAACGAAAGACAAAAGGCTGAATTAGAAGGAAATAAAGGAAAAAGTTTATTTTGCAAGATTTCACTTAATGGATCATATGGTTACGATGCAATGAATACGCAAAATTACGCAAAGACTAAAATAATGAATGCACAGAAGGCACGCGTTGCATGTATGTCAAATAAGTTTAAAAACATAAGAGAAATAGGTGAGGATACATATCAAGTGATGCTTCAAAGATAGATTTTATAGATGTGATACATGTTTACAAGAGGCATTTTACTTTAGATAACGCAAAATACTGGTATTTAGTTTTCATTTATGATTTTATGTATAAATGCATGAATGTTAATCGTTTTCATTTCATTGAAGGTGATACTGATTCATCTTATTGGGCAATCGCTGGCGACCCAAATCTTCCTAACACTCAAGCATTTCAAGCAATTGTTACCGATAAACAATTTTATGATAAAAACATTTTCAAATTCGCACCATTTGATTTCTTCTGTTTTGATGAGAAATTTAAACCTAAATTAAAGAATAAAGCTGAAGAAAAAGCACATGAGAAAAAATTATTGGGTTTAGCAATTGAGAAACAAGGTGATAACATGGTGCGTTATGTCCTAAAGTGTTATACTTCATTCAACGGTTCAATTGATGGAAGTGATTTTAAAAAGATTGCACAAAAAATGAAAGGTGTTGTTTACGACAAAATAAACAATTAACACCTAAAAATTATTTGGATATAATAAATGATAAAGTGATATTTGATGGTCAGAATATTAATTTACAACTTAAAAATGGGTCAATGACTCGCTTAACAATTGGTAAGACTGCATTAACAGGAGCACACACTAAGGCTGTATGTTGTGAAAATGGATGTTGTATGCCATTTATTTAATACAATTTAAAATTTTATTTTTAATAAAATGCCACAGAAGAGACAAAAGGAACCGTAAATAATGGTTTTGATACTATGATTCAAAGAGGTGGGCACCCTTAAACATTTATTTTATTTTTATATAAATGGATAACACAGATTTAAAAATTTAATTGATGATTTAGTACTTAATCAAAATTTTCCTACTTATTATGAATTAAAATCATATCTCCAAAAACATGATAACTATATAACGGGTGATGATATGGATTATTATTATCCGTATTATAAAAATGAAATTTTGAAATATCATGATAAAATAATTTCTAAAATTAAAGACAAAATTAAAAATAATGAATATACAAAGGGAAAAACTAAATCACAACTTAAACAGTTGAAAGATTTCAAAAATAAAGTATTAACAGAAGAAGATATTGATGAATTATATAAATTATATAATCATGAGCCGCAAAAAACAAAGGTGCAAAACACCCAGGTCCCTTCAGACCATAAATGAAGCACAAGCTTTAATTTATGATTCATTAGTTAAACCATATTCAGCCCGACTTTTAAATGAAGATCAACTTTTGGAATTCATCCTTCAACATAAACTCGAAGCGGGAAAGTATATCAAACCTTTATATACAGCATATTTAAAACAAATGAATAGAATACATCCAGAATTAATGAAGGGGGAATGAAATCCAAAATCAAAGCAGATAAAATTAAACCATTGCAACACCAAAACCTCCAACGACAGTACCGCCTCCTCCTTCAGTTAATCCTTCATCATTCACTTTATTATATCCATTTCAAACATTAAAGAAGCAAAAAGATTTTAAAAGGATTTCAAGATTTAAATAAACCAATTGACCCGAAATTCAACCGTTAAAGGAAAAATTTAGTCGCCCTTCATTTGCACCATATCCATATTCATACGAAATCGATCATCTGGAATATTCAAAAGGAAACGTTACGTTATTTATTTGCCATTAAATTAACACTAGATATTTATATTGCATTCCAGTGAAAGGGAAAACAGAACAGGAAACAAGAAGAGCTATACAATACTTACTAGATCATGAAAGAGTAGATAATATCAGGGGTGATGGTGATAAAGGATTTCAGGCAACTATGATTCATTATTTCCCACAAATTAATTTTTTCTTCTCATCCTCTCCATATACGTTTCATAATAAAATAGTTGATGCGGTAATGAGAACTCTTAGAGATGCGTTAGGGGTTAACGGTCAGATATATTGGGATGGAAATCATGACTCCATCATACAACAGTTAGTATATTATTACAATAATACATGGCATAGAACTATAAACATGAAACCAGTGGAAATGAAAAATGATATTTCAAAAGAATGGGGATATATTAGAAAGCAAATGGAAAGGTTAAATGATGTTAAACGTGAACAAATTAATTCGGGCTCAATGAATTTTAAACAAGGGATAAAGTTTTGATTCATCTCGATTATGGAAAAACTGATAAATCAATGACAAAAAGAAGACGAAGATTTGACACAATAGCTGAATTTGTTAGATATATTAACGGCAATGCATTAGTTGAAGTTGACAATAAATTAATAGAAATTCCGATTTATTTTATTACTTCATTATATTTAAATAATATTTAATTTTTTTATTTCGTAAGAAATGAGTGACAACAAAGCAGCCAAGAGTCCTGATTCAATTAAGAGTCAGAGTCCAGACGATGAATATAAAAAGAAACTAAACAGAATTAAATCAAAAATATGCTATTACAAAAAGAAGCTGCAATGCGGTGGGGCTGATGCCCATAAAACTAAAGTAATTGAAAACGATAAAGAGAGGAAAGAAATAATCGAAAAATTAGAAACTTACCGTTCAATCCTTAAACTGGGTGAAGCAAAAATAAAAGAATTTAATAGAATAAATAAATTGATTGGAAGAGATGAATTTAATAAAGATGAATTTTTAAACTCTATCCAAATTTAATTTTTATTCCTCTTCGACAACGTCTCTTCGAGACGCCGAACCCTTCTGGGTTCTTCTTTCCATCATTACTGCATAAGCGCATCTTCTCGGTTTTCGTGGTTTGTTGTTTTTAATTCGTTCTTGCATCATTTTTATCATTTCCTCCCTTGTTATGATTCGTGGTAAATTTTGAGCTTGTGGGGTATCCATTTATATAAAAATAAAATTTTGTTATCAGTTATTTTATCGTTAATGGTTTCGGGTTATTCAATAATTAATTATTTTTGAAGAACTGAGGGTGTCACCACGTCACCATGTGTCACCAGGTTAATTAACTTCTCTTAAAATTACTGACAACATGACATTTTGACAACACAGCAGGATTAATGCAAAAATAAATTCCAATCATACTTTATAAAGCTTCATTTACAAGTATTTCATCGTCAGTAAATGAATCCTCATTATCGTTTGGTTCAACCTGTTTATATAATCCTTTCATTTCTTCTTTCAAAACATAACACCATGTTTGTTTACCATCTATTCTTCTCTGTTTCCTATCACATTTATCCTTAATGCTCATTTGGAAATTCTTGTCTTTCATGTCTGATGGTTTGCAGAATAGAGCATTTTTACACGTCATACCTGCACACAATTCATCATAATGTGTATTTATCCATTCATCTAAAGGATTTGTTGATAATTCTATTAAATCTTGTTTGGCTTCAGTCATTGGTATGATTCGTACATTAAATGATGAAAGGTCATATTGCATAAAATACGTCAGTAAATTATCATAAAATTCCTTTGTGCATGAATTCATCAAAATTCTTGAAGTAATCAAATTGACCTTGAATTTACCATTAACTCTTAAAACTACGTATCTTCTGTCTCCAACTTCAATTTTGACAGGGTAGACGTTATTAGTTACCAAAATGAAATTGGCAACATTCTGAGCAGTTCTTCTGGGTTGATTCTTTTCATTAATTCTAATCTCATTATCCGTAATAATTGATTTCAAAGCGTTGAAGTTTGCGAGTCTGTCTTCACCTACATTCTTGAGTTCATTAAGTACAAGAAACATTTTATTCTCAACTACTGAATTGAAATTACCCGTTAGCTCACTTATTTCAGTAATGTTTTTACATGAATAACCGGCGAGAAGTTCAGAAATAATATCTGTAAATCTGTTTTTACCTGTTCCCTGAAGTCCTTTCAAAATAATTGCTGTTTCATTCTTGATTCCAGGATGTTGAATCATTGATGCAATCCAGCCGAGAAGGTATTTATACACTTCATCGTTATTATCACAAATGGCTTCTTTAATGAAATTCATAAACATCTCAATTTTTGAGTAATCAGGCTTTTCGAGAACGTTGTATTTATAACCCTGAAACGTTGAGAAAACATCTGGGGAATCAGATTTAAAGCAAACACCCTTAACGGTTAATGAGGATAATTGATTTAGTAGTACATCCCATGCTGTTATGGTTTTACCTTCTTCTTTAAATAATTTAATCATTTTGAGTGACTCTTTCATGTTTGATTGAAGAACGAATGATATTTGATTCATTTTGTCGTGTATGTTGTAATCTTTCTGAATGAAATATTTGTTTCCACAATCTACAAAACGAATTACACGTGATAAATCCTCAATTACTTCAGAACTGTTTTTATACTGATGATTTTCAGCCCTGCGTCTAATATCCGTTATCAAAAACGAGTCATCAAGTTTGATATCAAATGTTATTTTTGGCTTACGTAATAAAGGTAAAACATATTCATCATAATATTCCTTTTGATAACGTTTTAGAATCTTCACTAAAACAAATGGAGAAGTCATTAAATGTGCATATCTACTACGTGCTTTTTCAAAATTACTTTTTGCATTTTCAGTTAAGCTGCAGAAGTTATAAACGTTATCGTATGCTTCATTAATTAAATGATTAGGTAACGAATTAATTGCTTGAAACAGTGTGAATAATGTTTATTTCTTTTTCCAAATTCATGTTTCCACCGTCATTATGTACTTCAAAATCACTAATGCCATCAACTATGCTCTGGGCAAGTTTATCGTCAATGTTTACATCTTTGTTTTCATTCATGATAGTCTTTATTTCTTCGTTCTTCTGTTCAACTCTTACCTTAATATTCAAATCATTTAATTATCATTCACTGTTCTAGTTAATGTTGAATCGTAACTTCCACGAATGAATGAGTATGTATTGATTGGTTCTGTTGCATTCTTGCGAATTCTTGAATCAGCCATAACCACTAAAGAACGCTTTGAATCATCCATAGAAGTCATGATATCGATATCATAATCATTGCAGGAATAACATTTAATCATTCTGTTTCGAAACTGCATAGAAGAAATTAGTGTTGCAATAAATGTGAAGACCTCCTGAAGCGGTTTTAATGATAACATCTTTATCCGAAAGTTTTGATAGAATGTCTTTTCTAACCGTTTCTTTAAGTTCATCATTGTACGATTTATTGATATCAACATCTATAATCGTTAAATTTGATATTTTATTTACTAATAAAGCCATACCAGTTTTCCTTCTCTTCTCCATCGTGTTTGAGGTAGTTATGTAAATCAATCTTGTTTTCACCAATTCTTTCGTTGAGGGTTTTAGTTTCTGCCACAACTAATTCCTCCGCTAATGAATCAATAACTTTTTCATCAGAAACGATATAGTTGCTGTTGTTGTTTGTTGCTGTCATTTATATAGGAATAAAAAAATAAAAATAATTTTAAAACTAACTTTATTTTTGGACTGCATCATATTTCCAGGACTGTTGTCAAAATGTCATGTTGTCTCATTTTTTCAGAGAAGTTAATTAACCTGGTGACACATGGTGACGTGGTGACACCCTCAGTTCTTCAAAAATAATTAATTATTGAATAACCTGAAACCATTAACGTAAACATTAACGATAAAATTTATTTCCAGGACTGTTGTCAAAATGTCATGTTGTCTCATTTTTTCAGAGAAGTTAATTAACCTGGTGACACATGGTGACGTGGTGACACCCTCAGTTCTTCAAAAATAATTAATTATTGAATAACCTGAAACCATTAACGTAAACATTAACGATAAAATTTATTTCTGCAGTTCATCCATTACTTCATTACCTAATTAATTACAGACATAAAATATATTTAGTTCATTCATTGAACGCGGTACCATGCGAATACAGTCACAAATGGTGGCATATAATCTTTACCCAAGCCTGTTGGATTTGTTGTGAAAGTGTGTGAATGATTACCTCCCGGTTCAGTTGGTCGAAAAATCTTTTTTGCTGCATTGTTATAAGATGGAGATAAAACGTCATTGCCAGCTTCATACTCTGAGTTGTATAATGGGTGGTCTCTTAATGAGTGGCTATGGTCGCCAGAAAAGTTTGTAGTTCCTGTATGAGTGTGCGGTGGAAGGTTTGCTTCTTTAATTTTCTTCGAACCTCCTGTTTGCTTTGAATATCTAGCACAGTATAAGAATTTATCTACAATCTGCTTCCACATACCAAAACCTAAAACTTTGCTGGATTTGTTGAATTCATTGACGTATAATAGAACCAACAGGATATAATGTTTGAAGTATTTCATTTTTCATGCTTGTAATCACATCATTTACTTCCGACTTCTTTGCATAATTTTCATCAACATAAGTTTTATCTGCTTTAAGGTCTAAACATCCTGAAACCCATTCTGTATCAGCTTTAACTTTAAAAGTCTCAAATGTCCATTCCTTATCCGCCTTCTTCTCTAACTCATCGTTAACATAAGTTTTATCTGCTTTAAGGTCTAAACATCCCGAAACCCATTCTGTATCAGCTTTAACTTTAAAAGTCTCAAATGTCCATTCATGATACCATTCAACCTTTTCTTTAATTTCATTATCTTTTTCATCAACATAAACCAAATTTGCCTTCTTATTTAACTCACTATCCACATATTCCTTATCCACCCTCTTCATTATGTCATTTAGGAAACCTTCTATGAATTCCTCATTTAAATTAAATCTTCCAATCTTCAAAACTTTAGGAAATGCATTTAATGCGTAATATCTCTGTTCTTCTGGTGGAATTGATGTTATATCATCCGTTATTCCTTTAATTTTTGAATTCATAAATAAAATTTCTTTTATATTTGATATCACTGCACCACCTTTGCAAACGAATTCGAAATGGTCATTTTTCAATACTATCTCCAAATCTCCATATTTCAACCTTTGCGTTTGTTCTGCCGTCTTTGAATTATATGCATATATGGCGTATGTAATGGTCTGAAGGACCTGGGCGCTTTGCGCCTTAAGTTGCTGTTGTTTAATCATTTATTATGATTTAAAAATAAATATTTAATCCGTTATCTCATCGGCTATTTTCTCTATTTGAAATTGCCATAATATTTCATTCATAAATTCTAAATCACAATCAAATAGGTCAGTTATTCTAAATTTAATATTTGATAAATCTTTTGAATGAAGAATAAATGAATTCCCAGATAATTGAAACGGATATGATAAAGAAAATGTGTTTAAGTTGATGGATAAAATGTTTTGTATTGATGGGTAAGAGTTAGGGTCTAATGTTTGATGTGAAAATCTCATTGGGGTATTAACTTTATCACATTTGATTAAAATGAAATTGGAACCAGTGTCAGTATACAAAACATCCCCAACATCTTTTTCAAAATTTAATATCCCCAACAATGAACGAAGATGAGGAGTACAAAATTTAATTTTCAGCGGGAATTTAATAAGGTTATTTATTTCATCAAGTTCAAAAAGTTTATCGGGTTTTGATTTAAAATTTTCTTCATACCATACGATAAATGATTCATTTAAATAACTTAAAATCATGTTAATATCCCATTTTGCTATCACATTATTTATATACATATCATACGTTTTTTCAAGGTCATCTTTAATAAATGATATATAATCTGAAGGGTCTAAAAGAATGGGATTAAATTTACCACTCACAGAAACGAGAGTAACATTATAAATTCCGCTAACTGTTAAATTTAATTCACAGCTATTATTCGAAATAATATTGATAATTGACATTTTTATTAGATTAAAAATATGGTAAAGCGTTATTTTCCAGTGATAAATAAAACTAGAATAAGATTACCTCAAGAATTCATAAATTCAACGAATAAGAAATTCATTCATGTTATAAATTTTAGTGTTTTCAGAAAATATGAGTCAGTGTCATATTCATCAACAGGTTATATTTCACTTCATTCAAATTTAGTTCAATCAAACCCATATAATGACCATTTCATAAGATTTTCAGATGGTATTAAAAATGTAATTGATAGATTAAAATATGAACAGATTGACAATATCGAATTTTTGGAATTTTGGTTTAAATATCCCGATGGAAAAAAGATTGAAGTTAAAGATAAAGCTGATACTATAACAAAAACAATTACAATGACCGATCCGGATAGTGGGGAACAAAAAGAAATAAAACAAACGATAGAAACTGGTGAAAGGTCAATTATTATTGATTATGATTCAAAGGATTATTATTCGATAATGTTAATGCTTGAATATTAAATAGCCTTAACAAAGAATTTTTCAAGTGATATTTTATATTCATCAACTATTTTATTATAAATATCATTATATGTTAAATGAAGTTCAGTTGTTGTTCCGTTCTTTGATATCTTAATTGTGCTAATATCCTTTATAGGATTTATTTTTGCAACTGTTCCGCAGCATGAAACCTCATCATCTATGAAAAATTGAATCTTAACGTCTGAATCTTGAACATCACAAAGAATGGCGATAATGTGAATTAATGATTCATAAGGTAAAATAATTAAACCGGATTGGTCAATTAAATTTATTATTGAATCATAATTATTAATTATTATATCACGGTAAATTTTCATTAATTCAGAATTAATGTCTATTTTATATGGGTTCTCGATGTTTGATGAAAGAGGTGGGGGTATGTTGGATAAGTGGGAATTTCAACAGGTTTTTTACCGGGTTCAGATAAAATGATTGGGTCTCCATCTTCTTTATTTTGCTCCTCCTTTTCGGTAAGTCACGAGTTAATAAATTTGGTTGAGTTGCTGACCTTGTTAGTTCAGGGCTAACATTAACTTTAACATTTTGAATAATTCGTGATTTATCATCATTTACGTTATAACCAACCGTAATCTCTGCTTTTGCGTTAGTGTTCTTTTGACTAGTGAAACGTCTTCTCATTTATAATCGAATAAAAAAATATATTTAAACTTTTATTTTGCTGGAAGTTTTGAATCTATTATTCCCTGTATTTGTTCATGAAGTTGATTTTTAGCTGGTTCATTGTAATTAATAGACCTAATATATTCATTAATTGCATTCTTATAATCATCTGATTTCTCAAATTTTCTTTTATCTGATTCCTTAACTAAATCATAAGTTAAACCTCGTTGCTGATATAATGGTTTCTTAATTAAATCTTTGAATGCTTGAGATAAAGCACCTGATGCAATTCTTGCTACTATAATTGGTTGGAATTGCTGTTTAAGTTCATCTTTAACATTTGCGAAAACTGGATCGAATAAAGCAACTTTAAAGAATTTCTTAGCTGAAATTTCAGGTCTAATATTTGCATATTGACCATCAAACTGGTTAGAATATTGTGGTAATCCATCCGGTCCCTCTTCAATAGCATTTAATTCTTCATTGAAATAAGAATATGGATTATAACGGTATGAATTAATTGGACCATTTTCACTTCTCCAATGTATTGTTTAACATCTTTTCCATTTTCATCAAATTGCATAGGATAACGTTCATTATATGCTTTACGTTTAGGATAATCAGTTATAGTTAATTTGTAACCATTTATGACTTTAATATTACCTTGACCATCAGTAACGAAAACTTCATTTATACCATCAGGTTTTCCATTTGGACCTGTAATGTCTGCTTCGTGTGCTTCCCAATTTGGACCTTGACGTTTGGCATATGCTTGAGCTTCTGGTAATGTTAAAACGTTTCTCATTTGTTTAACATCTTTTTGAAGACCAGCAACAATATGAACTAATTCTTTCATTCCATCAGGAACTTTCATAGTTCTATTATATGCACCCTTTTTGTTTGTTCCATGTTTTAATGGAACCTGTAGAAGATTTGCTATTTCTGTCATGTTTAATTATAAATAAAAAATAAAAATTAATTATAAAAAGTTAATCAAATTTAACACTTCCTTTATTTAAATCAACTATTATTTTTCCATGTTCACCTAATTGCTGATATTGTGTGCAAAGTTCATTAATGCTCATTGGTAAATTCACTTGATAAAGCATAACGTTCAACTGTTGACGACTAAACCCATTGAAAATGAAAAGAGTTGATAGATTTGATTTAATGTTTGTGCTTAATGCTTTGAAGTATTGAACAGCCATGAAGAATGAACACTGAATGTGTCGACATTGAGTTAATAACTGATTAAAATATGATTTCTCATTTGTTATTAGTTTTGATTTCACTGCATCATCTAGAAAAATGAGTGAATGCAAAAATTCTCTATCAAAATTTGAAATAGAAAGTGTTTCAAATAATTCATCCCGTTGTTTATCAATAATTTTATCCTCTAATCCTTGCTTCTTGATTGTATTATATAATTCTTTATACATTAAAAAGTTTTTTAAATAATCTTCTGCTTCTTCTTGTGATAAATAAATAATTGGAATTTTGATTAAATGCTTTAAAGATTCAAATGTATCATCTGAAGGTGAACCTGAACGGTTGATATAAATTAACACATGTGAATATGGGGAAGTGTTAGCAATAATGATAATTTGTTTTAATATCGTTAATGTTTTACCTTTATTTTGTTTACCAATTGCTGCAGTGAGAATTTAAGTAACATTCAGAATATGGAATTTTCATTAATTTTTCCTTAGATAGAGCATTTCTATTATCACTCAATGCTTCATTAATCATATCATCTATGTATGTATTATATACTCCTGCTAATTCTTCATAAGGAGTGTATGAATTTAAATCCATTTAATCAAAAATAAATTTATAATTTTAAACATTTCTATTCATCAATATTTCATCATATGAACTTCTATACTGTGGTGGTGTACCTGTTGGATGATATTTCAAACCTTCATCCGGTGTCCATGTCCAATATGTAGTCCTAGTAAACCAAACCTGAGGAGGATTTGTCACCTTTGAACAGTAAGTGTCATTTACACCCTGAATGATTGGATAAGCTTTCACTTGTACTGTAACTTGTGAGTTGAAAGTTTCTAATCCATCAAAGAATATACCCGCTCCATCACGTTGAACTGGAATAGTGCATAAGAATGAAGTTTGGTCTTTCCATGTTCTAGCTAATGGCGTGCCATCATCTGCATTCAGTGGTCTAGTTAATGAGTCCTCGTATTCTTCTGTGCATTCATTCACTCCATCTAAATCAGAAGCTTGAAGCATACGTGTAAAGAATATGTCACCCACTGTGGTCATCGCTTGATCGGGGAAGTTTCTGGAATCTATAGTGACCTGAAGACCTCGAAGCATTGGATTTTCTAAAACTGTTCTTTGCATTGCATTCTTCGGAAATGTTAACACAACATCTGTAACATTATGAAGAGCGTATGAGAAATCTGAGCTAATACCTTCAGGAGTGATGCAACCTCCATTTAGTGAACGAACGTCAATATGTTGAGCTGGAATCATGAATGGATCTTCCTTACTGAATAAACGTGGTATTGCTTTAACTGATTCTTCAATTAAACCGTATCCTGGTGTAATGCATTTATCCTCTAAAACTTCCATCTTTGTGCATGAAATAATAACGTCATCAACTGTTGCCTCAGCAGATGTAGCGGCTAAGCTTGTAATTAATTTGGCAGGAAGTCCGATTTGTTGGAATTTGCGATCATATTTATAAACATGATTCATAATCTTTTCATAATTTTCATCAGTTATCTTTTCATAAACGTAATTTTGTAAATCAGCAACTCTTAACGGGTCAACCTGACAAAATACTAAAGTATCCCTGAAAACATAATATTTAAGAATGATATCACCAAATGATTTAGGATAATCATCGAACGCCTGAAATGCTAACAAATCATTTACCGGAATAATCATATCAAAAGTGACATCGACTTCTTCATTTGCTTTCTTGAAAACTTCTGAAGGGTCAATATATTTACCACATACTGAGTTATCATATTTTTGAACATTATTATATAACGAATGAACAAACTTTTTAACTTTCCTTTCTGATTTTGGTTTATATGTTGCAAATGCGAAAGATTCACGGGCGCAATCCATCTGAAGATAACCGGCATCACCTCTTTCAGTTTCTACTTCTAATTGTTTAAAGCTTTGATTTGATGATTTGTAACCAACGAATAAACGCATGCATTTAAAAGCGGCATCACATGTGAAAGCTTTATTTGAAACTAGAGTTGCTTTAACTTTGCGTTTAATATATGTGTCACCTAATTGGTTCACATCATGAGCCGGATTTGTAATTCTTAAATGAGTTTGTTTATCATCAAAATATGGAGCATCAGAGTCATAGCATGAACTTTCAAGTTCTCTATAATATCTTCTACCGTCATTCTTTGCGAATATTTCATTTATCTTTTCGAATGAATGAAACACATTTCCATTAATCGGTTTAGTGTTTGGCACCAAATAGTTAGTCGTCATTTATTAATAAATAAAAAATCAAACTTAAAAGATGAAAATGAATTTTTAATTTTAATGAAATAATCAACTATGGCTGCAGGTATATTTAAGAAACTGTGGGATAAAGTAAAAAGAGGAGCGCATAAAGTTTGGGAAACATTGAAGAAGGGGGCAAGTTGGATATTTAAGAATAAAGAAGCAATTAGTGACGTTGCTGAATCAATAACGCCAAAAGTTGCCCCAATAAGAGAAGTTTTAAATAAAGGAGAAAAAGTTTATCAAAGACGACAACCAATACTAAGATAAAAATAATATTTATTTATTTTTCCACTATCTACCCCCTATTTTATTAAGTATTCCTTCAGCAATTCCACCAACTACGTTACCTGCTTGTGCTCCCATCGCCGGATTACCTGCTTTAGTACCTAATACTTCACCTATGATAGTTCCTGCCGTTTTCGCTACTGGTGCCAAAAAGTTTGCAACGGGTTTAATAATCTTTTTATAAACCCAACCCGCAGCTTTCTTAATTCCATCCCATAATTTTTTAAAGAATCCTGCCGCCATTTCTGATTTAATATTAATTAAAAAATATATTTCATCACTTATATTCTAATTTTTATTTAATGATAAATGAAACCGATTTTAAAAATAAATGAAACAGAGGAGGAAGAAATAAATGAAAGTGAAAATGTTCAACAAAAAATAAACGTTGTTAAACCAATTACTGAAATAAAAATTTTTTCATCTGTTGAAGAATTTAATGACTATTATGCTAATAATAAAAAATTATTTGAAGAATTGACAACGTGTAAATTGAATAAAATGTTTAAAGTTGATGGATTCAAAATTTCAAAAATAAAAGGAGTGGTTAGTTTGAAATCTATTCCTCAACCAAGAATCACCTCATTAATGAAAATTGATGATTTAACAAAAAGAATAGAAGAGATTGAAGAAAGAATGAATCAAATAATTGATTTCATAAATTCAAATAATCATTAGTTTCTTAAAGTTCAATGTTGAACTCATCAAATTCTTCTTCATCATTACCATTACTCTTTCAACTCTATCTTTTGATAGTCTTGCGTTTAATTTTTCGTAAGAAGTTTATTTTTTACTCGTTTATGAGGTCTTTAAACCCATTCAGGATTTAAACAATGTTTAATTAATCGCGGAATATCTGACATCATCTATATATAGCTTCTTTTAAAATTAATGTTAATTTTTTAATGGTTTATTTCATTATGTTTGGGTTGAGTGTAAATGTCTTACAATTTTGAAAATTTTTTAAATCTTGATTTATTCAAAAACGTAAGAATAAAAACCGTAAGAATCATACATTTTTTACTTCATATGTTAAAAAAATGATATAAAATCGCTCGATATTGTATGAATTCTTACGTTTACAAAAAAAGTCACACAACCCGTCATATCCACTACTTAAATTATTCATGATGGGTCAAAGTCCCGCCGATATGTGGCTTAATTATTTTTATTTATTCTCATCAATCATGCCCATTTTATCGCCTATTGTCTTTATCGCTTCATAATGATTAATAAGCACCTCATTTAATTTTTTAATTTCTTCATTTATCTCATTTATTTTTTCATCTAATTGTTTAAATTTTCCATCATGTTCAAATTGTTTTTCTAAGTAAGAATGTCAAACATTGAAAACAATGTTTATTTTATATCATTCATAAACTAATTATACAATAAATATTTCCATTTATGCATCTTATTTTCTGCATTTAATAAGATCACAACATATTTGACTAAGATTAATAATTTAGTGTATTAAATCTATGTAATTTCTGGGTATTTGTGATTCAGACATTTTTTCATGTAAATTGCAGATTATTACAAAGAATCTTATTATAATGTATTAACTTTTGAGATATTTTGAGGAATTATTTGTATATATCAATCATAATTAGGCATAAAATGAGATTTGTCATATAGATATCTATGAAAAATGACTTCAATATGTTTCTAGATACATTTTCATGAAAATTCACGCTAAAACAGTCTAGCGTTATCTGAAGGTCCTACGAACAGGATCTCGACGGATATAATATTGAATACATGTGTAGATGCATACATACGAAATACTAATAAAAATTATGCTTATTAAAAAATATGATAAAAATTTCATCAAACTTCTTATTATATTATAATATCAATTTTAACTTAATAATGTATTTATTATTTCATTAGTCAAAAGTCTTTGCTGACAATGTATTCAAATTTGTTTTTTAATTAAAATGATATTATATCAAAATATTGATATCTAATGTCAATGTTAACATACAACATAATACATTAAGTAATATAAGATTTTTATGATAGATAATATATTTCAATATTTGAAACAGAGGGAGTTTTATTAAGTTTTCATGTATATGTATCCACACATGCATCAAATATTATATCCGTCGAGATCCTGTTCGTAGGACCTTCAGATAACGCTAGACTGTTTTAGCGTGGATTTTCATGAAAATGTATCTAGAAACATATTGAAGTCATTTTTCATAGATATCTATATGACAAATCTCATTTTATGCCTAATTATGATTGATATATACAAATAATTCCTCAAAATATCTCAAAAGTTAATACATTATAATAAGATTCTTTGTAATAATCTGCAATTTACATGAAAAAATGTCTGAATCACAAATACCCAGAAATTACATAGATTTAATACACTAAATTATTAATCTTAGTCAAATATGTTGTGATCTTATTAAATGCAGAAAATAAGATGCATAAATGGAAATATTTATTGTATAATTAGTTTATGAATGATATAAAATAAACATTGTTTTCAATGTTTGACATTCTTACTTAGAAAAACAATGATCTAATTTTAATTTGATATTATTATTCCTTTTGAATGATCAAATGATATACAATATAGATTAACATTATGTATTAATCTATAAAATAAAAACTTTAGAAGAAATATTTTATCATATTTTTTAATAAGCATAATTTTTATTAGTATTTCGTATGTATGCATCTACACATGTATTCAATATTATATCCGTCGAGATCCTGTTCGTAGGACCTTCAGATAACGCTAGACTGTTTTAGCGTGGATTTTCATGAAAATGCATTAAGGAAAAAATATACCGATCTGGTTTTGAACCTTCAACCCCTACGACAAAAAACGGTTCCACGCTAAAACCCCCCCATACTGTTAAATATGATTTACTAATCAATATGAGTATGATTTGCGCTATAATATCATATATTATATGCTTATATCACAAATATTTTCATCTATTTCCCACAAAGGGTGGGACGATTTCTTCGAACCTTCAATCGATTACACAATGTACAGCAACACACATCAAAACCTTGATGCTAATGGTGATAAAAGCTATTACATCTCGTTTTGTTATTTTATTTCTCTGGATGTCGAAGGCGCAATTTCGATCAAAGACGAAACTTACAACAACGTTAAATTTCTCATTGATACAAGCTCATTTGACAAATGCGGATACCACGGCCCTTCAGGTGGCACTGGTTCATTATGCGTAAATTCTGAAAATGGTGAATGTGTTCAAGACCGAATTTGTAGTTTTGGCTCCAAATCAATATTTGCTGGTGTTTATTGTTCTATTAAACTTTCACAAACATCTGTATTAAAGAATTATTTAATTGATTCGACAATATCTTCAAGTAGTTCTAATACCTATCAAGGAAATGGTAATATTCATTTGTTGTATGGTGAAACAAATATGAAATCAATTAATATTTCAAATTCAAAACTAAATTCTCTGAGCTCCTACGATATTTCTTGTAGAATCAATTCAAGCGTATCACTTTCAACATTTTCAAACAACACATCAAGCGGCAAAGAAATAAGTTATTTTGGAAATTATAACGGAAATTTTAATTTTACAATTTCTTATTGTAACTATAACGATATTAAATGTGATATATTTATTTGGGTGAATGTTTATCTCTATATCATTAATTGCAGTATTTACAACAATATCATCAATGATCTTTATTTCTTTCAAGATAATTATCAACAATTTATTCTAGTTAAAGGATGTTACTTTGATGTTTCTGATCCTTATACAGATGGACTTGTCACAATAACAGAGGGAGTAGATTCAACTTATCCAAAAAATCTTCATTTTCCTAGTTCATGTTCAACTGAATCGAAACCTGAAGTAGAAATCACAGAACCAATTCAATATCAACGTCATTTCAAGAAGATACAAAGAGCACAGTTTTTAAATGTCTTTGAGAATATTTGGATGAGCTATCTTTATAGATAGGTGTATAAGATCTTATATTATTTTATTATATGGTTTGTTTGTTAGAGTCAATAAACGCAACTCTAATTCAAACTAAATGAGCAAATATATATTGAGTATATTAACCTGAGAATGAGATTATGTGATATGAAATGTTGAAATATATTTGAAATCATT